TTGGCGTGTGCATTTGAACAAGAGATAAAAGAAAATGATTTAGGATTGCATTTTCAGAGTCAAAAACATTCTCTTTTGTAGCAAACATAAGGTGTAAACTTACTCCTTGATTCGTGCGCTAGCGAGTTTTGTGAGGAAGGTCTTGAAGAACGTCGGACTCACTCCATTGTCCACACTCTCCGTCAGCCCAAACGATAACGTTGCCATCAAGCCAAGAGTACCTGCAGCCTCGTCGCTGTTAAAGGTGATCATCATCGGTGCGATTTTGAAATCTTTCTTCTTTCGCAAATTCCGAGGAGTGTCATGGAGAAAGTGTTTGTCCACAACTGGAGCCCATTTCGGCTGATCGACAAACCGAAAGTTAACTGCGTCTGAAGCTTTTTGTATATCAGCAGCTTTCTTTTCCTGAAGGCAGCGAACCATGGCTTTGTGATCACTCGATGGACACTTCATTTTCTCTGCTACCTCTTTGCTGTTTCGGACACCAATCGATATCTGTTGAATTGCAAAGGGAGCTAAATCTACGCCACTTTCCGCAATGACCCCATGGAACAGATCTTTGGAAAGGGGCGACAAAAGATGTAGACTCACACTTAGTCCCCCAGCGCTTTCTCCAAATAAGGTAACCTTGCCGGGGTCCCCACCGAAATTCTCAATGTTTTCTTTGACCCACGTCAGTGCTTCGACCTGATCTAACATTCCAAAGTTTCCAAGGGCCGCGGAATCCCCGGTTGTAAAGAAGCCAAATGCCCCCAGACGATATTGGATCACGACTACTACCACGCCTTGTAGAGACAAAATATCACCAGGGAAGGTGACCGAGGTACCGCTATCATAGCCTCCCCCGTGAATCCAGACCATCACCGGTAAATTCAGGGTTACGTTCGGAGTGTAAATGTCAAGATACAAGCAATCTTCACTGTAAGAGAAGTTTTTGGCGAAAAGCTTGGTTAAGAACTCGAGGCCTTTGCCTTGCATGCAAAGAGCGCCATGCTCCTTCGCTTGACGAACGCGGGGTTTCCATTCCTTGGGTGGTTGTGGCGGTTTCAGCCTGAGTTTTCCCACTGGTGGAGAGGCGAACGGTACACCTAAAAACTTGTTTACAGAGTTGAAACGAGCAGAAATATTTGAGTAACGAGATGTGAACCCTTCGATCTTTCCATACCTCGTTGATACTGTTACTGTCGAGACCACAGGCAAAAACGCACATAATGCTAACAGTGCCATGAGCAACATTGTTCCCAATTCTTCTGCACGAAGCTCTTCAGTCACTTTTCACACTTTTATGTTTTTTCTCTGCAAAAAAGTACTGATTGAAGGGTCATTGAATAAAGCAACGCTTCGCATAATAAATGTCAAGCTTCAATGACTTTGTAGTTTGCTTGCGTGTGCGTGGAAGTTCACATAACGTGAAGAGGTCACGAAAAGCATTTCTGACGTACGCTTGTGGTTCTGCAACGAGTACACGTGACAAAACCCTCAATTGTCAACTGAAGAAGAACACAGGTTTTACTAGTTTTACTAATGAAGTTATAAAAGGTTATAAAATGAATTCGTGTTTTTAGCGGCCATAAGATGTTTCACCGCACATTTCTCTCACGAAGCCAAGAAAGGTGCGATTTTTGTTTGAAGACCGACGGTAACAGATTGCTACAACCAAAGGAGTTGATTTTGCCGTCATAGTTGAATGCTATCGTACTAAATTAGCCAATAATGCTTAATCTTGAGAAAAGTGGCGCAAAACACTTACATCATGTTCTGTAAAAATCATTTTATCTCGTTTTAATTTCATGCCAAATTTGGAATTTTTTTGGGTAAGATACTTCTTTCTTTTATTATTTCCACTAGTAGTCTGGCAAAAAAACCCTCCGACAGCAAATAAATACAACGTAATTTTGTCACAGTCATGTCAATATTTACCATTTGCATCGCAATATCATCTCGCAAATTTGTGTGAACTCATCTTTGACTTCTTACTATACAGACAAAAGTCTAAGCTTCCTTCTTGCCTAAAGAGATAATCAACAGCAAACTTTGAGGGAAAGTGTATTTGTCTTTTTCATCAACGGGCTTCAAAAGCTTTAACTTCTGGCGAAAACGTGCAGAGCTTTCCAAATCATAATAAACAGCATCGAATTTAACTTGGGTCCTAATATCTTTGCATACATGTACTTCATTTTTATTAGACTTATCCTTTCTTTGCGACGTATGGTTAATAGCCTTGGCGGAGGTTTAGCGCATGGGACGCCTGGGTGCATAACGCGATCGCCTATATACAACTGAAGTCTTTATGAAGGCTGCAATCTTGGAATGAACAGAACAAAATGGAAAAGCAAACCTTCTCTATCCCCAACTCGAGGATTAAGCCGCCCGAAAGACCAAAAAGCGGCATTTTTTCATTTGATTTCGGAGAGGCGGTGTGGGGCGGGGGGGGATTGGGGTCTTAATTTCTAGTATATTTTGTTCAAGATTGTGGTTCCACTAATCGTCAAAATGACTCGTCTCAGCTGTTCCAAACATTTGAGGGGATCCTTAAAATCTAGACGATTACATGGAAGCCAAGCTTTCTATTGAACCAATGGTAAACGGTTCAGAGTTTAAGGTTGAGTTTTCAATGCGCGGCTGGAGGTTTTCATTTATTTATTATTGGTTAAAGTAAAAAAGAAAACTTTGAAAAAAATTAAACGTCGCAATCATAGAAAAAATGGTATATATTTGAATAGCAGTACCTCCCCCAAGTCCCAAAAGTCAAGGACAAATTAAACGATTCACTTATTCATGCAAACGAAAATAGCAAAGAAAAACTAAAGTTACATTATTACGGTTCGTTTATTTAACAAGGTGAAATGTGAGTGTTAAAATTCGTACGTATATATATATGTCAGATTCCATTCAAAAAAAATAGCATTAAAATTAATATATAAGTATGTACTTCTCAAGTATGCGTACTTTCTCAAAGAACCTGAACTCAAGTGAAACGGCGAGTGGTTTCACTGCAAAGTTTTAAACATTTTATGGCGTCATTTCTATGGTCTTTAAGAGTGTAGACGATTGGAAAATTGTGGTCGATTTGTTTTTTACAATAACATTTATTTTTAGTTTACTTCGAATAAAACAACCGGCACTGCGTCACATGTTTTGTCATTTCCATGGCCTCTACTCTCATAGACCGTAGCTCTCGACCAATCAGCGCGCGAGGATTCGCTCAGTTATTGTAAAGTATTATTTTGATAAATATATCCTTTATATCATACATAAAAGTATATTTAAAGCGAATGTATAACCTGTCACTATTATACTGTAATCTGTTCCTACCTACAGGAATCTTATAATATCAGGACACTAAAGGACGTTTGTTGACAAAAGATACTTTGTCTCTTTTAAGGGGGTATATATAGTTCATTGATGTCGCTCAAGCGAACTAATAGGGCAACAAATAAACCATACGCCCGCCAAAATCATTTTACTCCCCTATTTACTTGTTAAAAAGATTTTCTTATCACCGTCGTACGTAACAGAATTGGACTTGACCACAAAAACACAACCAAAGCAACCAACCAATCATAACTCGAAACGAAAACTATGCGCTTGAGACCAAAACACCTGTGTCAATGGCGGGAAAACAAAAAACTCGCGACAAACGCGCGAAGACAATCCTTCTACTTGCTTCAAAGCACGATGCACGATGTTTGCTTTCCCAAACAAAAACAACAAACAACGCGACAGTTTATCAGAAAATCTTCTAACAAGTTCATGAAACTTTTGCATTATTTTGTAATTATTAGTTGGAGAAAAGTGCCACGGTTTCTTTCATTTTCATGGGTACACGTTGAAGTCTTTTACGGCTGGATTTGCAAGGGCAGTGAACTGCGAAGAAAAAAAAAAACGAAAACAATGTTTATCATCAAGTCGCTAGATAGCAAGCAATTTTTCGGCACAATATGTTGCGATATGTGAGGTTTTGAAAAAATCCTGATAATAAAATTACTTCTTGGACGGTAAAACTACAGATGGACCAGCAAAAATGCTCGAAAGCCATATGACAAAAGTACTGTAAATGAGATCTCCGAGGTTATCCTACACGAATCCGTTTTCAGGGTGGATTTATTTGCAGCAAACCCATAGCAGTCGCATTTGCCTAGAAAAACAAGTGAAAAGTGCTATACGCGTATGCTGCAAATGAATTCACTCAAACATTGTAAACGAATTGGCCTCGTCGAATTTGCCCAGGTGAGACTGTATCGGTGTGACTGTCGGTTTCGAATTGCACTTAATGCTTCTTTAATCGACTATTGCCAAGTTACGCCGGAAACAGCAAGAAACTGGGTCCAAATTGGCTCGCCATAAACAGCCCTATAGTGTAATGCAAATAACACCAACCAGTCTTCATCAGCGCAACCTTAACATGGCTTAAAGAAACCTGTTGTGAAACCAGTAGTAGGCGTTAACGGCTTCTGTAAAAGTAAATGGTCCCCAGAGAAAATAAATTCGTAATCGGAAAAAAAAATTTGGCCAGCCTAAAGTTTGTATATACAAATCGCATGAACCGATCACACTAAGTGCTAGAAATAAACAGTAGACCTGCACCGTTCTAAACCTCTTATTTCATTGGTCCCCTTGAATCTGCACTTCCCTTGTTTTCAGGGATAGGAGCGTTGTTATGTAGTCGCCGACCAATTATTGCCTCAGCCTTCACCTTCGGCAAATAATTGATCTGCTCGCCACTGACAAATCACGATATTTTGCTCAACCTCGTCCAATAATTGTTAATGATTGTATTAAGTAGTTCGATCTGTCCCTTTGTGGGGTGGAACCAAGGGGGACGCGGTCGCGAGAGCAAAGAGCGGTTTCACTCACGTGGCCAGCATCTATACCAATTTATTGAAACAAAAGAAAGCGTTTACAGAAGAAGAGGACTGTCTTGGTTCACCAACATGGCCGCCGTTTCATTGTTTTTAAACACCAAAATGGCCGCCATGACGTGATGTGAAAACGTTATATACGCCTCCTGCCTCCAGTTCACTTTCTTGGCGGTAAAGGCAAAAAATAAATTTTTTTACCTGCTTAGTAAACTCATCAACACAAGCCATCCTGATGCGCTCACTAGTAGCTGGACTGTCCAGTCTAAACACCCCTTCAACACCTGATTCGCGCCTAAAATGAGTAGAGGTAAAACAATATTTTTACAGTCAAACTGCAACCAGCTGCATGGATTCACTACGCAAATACTAAATAAAAGTAAATACATGTGGAATAAATACATAAATAAATACATCACAAACTGTAAATACATAAATATGAAATAAAGAAGGAAAAAGGAAGGAAAGAAAGAAAAATTGGAAGGAAAAAAGGAAGAACGAACAAAAGGATGACCAAAATTTGTGGCTAAAAAAGAAAACAGAGTTTTCGTCCTAATATCTGTCACTACTCTCCATTATAATAACATAAAATTTATAAAATACAAGATTCAAAAAACGAAAAACATGGGGAAAAAAAGTGACAGGACGATGCAAAGCATTAAATAAGGAAATTTATTTCAGGTTAGATAAGAGAGAGTTTCAGTTTTAGGGCTTAATCTAATAAAGAAGGATTCTAACCTGGCGAACATGATGGCATCTTTAATAGCGTAAAATACTGAAGAGGCTAGGAACAAAGGAGGCTCGCCGACGGCCTGAAAATAAAATGTGACTGTTATCAGAAGATATTAGATTCAATTCATTTTTCCGATGTCGGAGCGAGGATTTAGCAATACCTTCTCTACAGAATAGGGCACCATCCACACCAACCACACCAGTTTTTTTTTTACAAGAATCAACCTTTCGTTCAAAAGATACCAGTGAATACGCACACCAAAACCGCATCATTTTTTCCACAGATCTGCGGATGGTTTAAGGCCTCGTTCACACGAATTATTCGGGTAAAAAATATGCGGTTTCAAAAATGTTCCTGGGGAAAAAACTTCGCTTAACTGGCTCAACCCTATCTCTCGGCGAAACGGGCCTAGCCGGAGAAGGATAATAATCCACACAGACTTAGGGCGATTAAAATGGTACACAATGAACCGGAAAGGAAGCGTTTTAACATCTATGAAGATTCTTCGTACTTTTGAAGAAAAAACCGCTTTTTCGTTCGGTGCACTCCGCAATAGATGAACATAAAATTCCACTGGAATGTCCGCAAATCCGGGAATCTTGTACGCTCCAGGCCCCGTGGTCCACGGCGTGCCAGTCTGAGAGTAGCGTATTTCTTCGATGGTAAACAAACCTAGTCCTTGGACAAAGCCGCCTTCAACCTGGAAAGAATAACATAAAAATTGAAAACGAATGGTTGAAAATCAGCGACAAAATTTTTGAGGTACTTTTGTGACATGCGGTATCTTTCGGAGAACAAACCAATCAAGAACCATCTTCATTCCCCATCCCTCCCCAAATCAAACATTACTTGGGGGAGTGGGGAAGGGAAGCTTGCATTTTCTTGTGACGTAGGCAGTGCCTTAAAAACTTGGAGAATAGACCTTGTTTACGCACGGCTGGCCTCGTTCTCTCTACGAGACTAGCCGTGCATGAACAAAGCTTTTTAAATCTCCTGAGACAAAACTAAAATGACCGCCGCGTGACAAAGGTCTATGGTCTTAAGAAAAACGTATGTCAACTGACGTATTTTCGCGGGGACCAAGTCTACTAAAAAGTCTGACCTGCCCAATGTCGATAGCCGGATTAAGACTGTTGCCAACATCCATCACTATGTCCGTGCGAAGAACCTGTTGGACAAATTTGAAAAAATAACAGTCGATTTGCTTGCCAGTAGAAATCCGGATATTTTGCTCAACCTCGTCCATGCAAAAAAGGTCTAGCATTCCACAGAAAACTTAAAAGTTATAGGTATAACTACATGAGTGACACGTACATGGAAGTAACTCCGGGACTAAAATTGTGACGATAAGTTAACCTATTCCATAGTACGATACCTGGTCGCGTAAACAAGCAATGTCGGTTAATTTCACAACGTTTGACAATCTTGTGTTGCATGGCGGTCTCAAAATAATGTACCCGATGTTTACGACCTAGCCAATTAATGTGACGTGGCATTCTCAACACGGCGCGACAGTAACTTTCCTACCTGGTGATCTCCTGTGAGGCAGTCGATTTCCACTTCCGAGCAAGCTGCTCCAAAACAGAAGTAGTTAAAAACTCTGCCTGTATTGGTCGTCCAGTCATATCCTAAATCCGGCGTTCTGTGAGATAACAAGCAAACAAAGCTGCGTTTAACTGAAACTGCAGCAAAAAAGCGTTACCATTATACCTTAACGAGACGGGAGCTGGGATTTCTCTACTATAATCAGTCACACAAATCATTACAGGCTAGCCATATTCATTTCAGTCAGAACAGAGACAAAACGCGCCACAAAAAATTACGCGTACGAACCATATGTAGCAAACTGGAACTAGATTGCTGTTGAGGCTAATATTTGTATGTCAAAAGATGTCGCTACACAACCCTCGATCCAAAGTTAGTTCCAAGACTATTTTTCACACAATACCAATATTTTAATATTTGGTCGATCCCAGACCCCTGTACAGAGCCATACACGTAAAACCCTAAGATATTTCGCTCTGTTCAGGAACCCTTAACTTCACAGCGTTTCTTCACTACGGTCAGTATTTTTGTGAATTGTCCATGGAAACTCTCTTACTTCCAATTTTGAATTACCTGTCGTGGGTCTGCGTGAATTGACCTTTGTTGCGCAGAAAATAAACAATTAGAAAAATAATAACCACAACACTGTTACTTTCTTACTTGTAAAATCCATTGGCAGAAAGATTGACTCGATCAAAGTAGGCCGAGCGAACCTGGTCAGCGAAAAAGAAACTGTTAAGGACAAACCATTAAATGATTTTTGTCATCATAAACTTGAAGCAAGTTAAGCAACAACAAAAAATGGCCAATTGTATGATAAATATGAACTAATTGAGCAAATCACCGACTTATCGACCAACAGAATGATGGCCAACTGGCGGCGGAACAAAATGGTGAACAAATTAAAGGCCTGACTAAGGGATGAGCATGTCTCCATTTACTTACCCAGTCTTCCCAAGATCCTTTGGGATTCTTCATTTGATAGGGTTTTAACCGCTCCAGTATCTGCTCACATGCAATCTGCAAAACCATATCAAACAGTATTGCTCCTATTACAGTAGAAAATTTTGGACATCATCCCCAAACGCGAGCACTTATTCATAGCAGAAGCGGGCAGCACATATTAAAGCGTCTTGCAGTACCGGTAGGTTCATGCTTATACTTGCTCCAAACTTTTTTCAAGAGAAAGCAGCCATTCAAAGCGACACGCCGAACGAAATGTGCGAAAAAAAGAAACAGTGTTAACAGCTGTTGAGCGAAAGGAAGCGCTTTGTCTTGGATTTTCTTCGTACAACACTTTAAAAGAAGAGGCCAACAAGCAAGGTGTCATTAAACGTTTTTCAAAAAAGTATAGTGTAGAATAAATTACACTTGACAATCATTATATTGCATTACGAAGACCACTGTTAAGAGGGAAGGTGACAGAAATATAAACGTATAGTAAATAGGTTAGCTGACCTTGACCGCCATGCCATTGAGATCTGAGGACGCCGAAGCAGCAGTGGGTGATGTGTTGGCCACTGTGTTGGTGCTAGTTTCTGTGATGTGAATCTTGGAGACTGGAATGCCAAAACAACGAGAAGCCACCTACAAAAGGACAAGCATTAAAGTAACAATTCGACAAACGAAAAATAAACCAAGGCCGGGAAAAATCAATTAAGAACCCACGAGTTGAAATTATGTAAACAGCAGGCCCAGCTACAATACTACGCATTTTTCTCGAGGTGAAGAAGAAAACTATAGGATTCTTTGAGATCTGGTGTAATTTTAGAGTTTTTGGTGAATATTTTTAAGTTCCTCAGTTCTTTTAATTCCAAAAAGTATGAAATTTGATAAGTCAAAAGCGATTCTAAAGCCTTTGTTGACGATTTTTTGACGCCGTACACAGTATTGGTCAGTGGTTTTACCCATGACCCAGCATTTCTTGCATCTCTTTAGTTTCCATTTTTTCACTAACCTGCACCATTTTAGTGTGTAGTCCTTGTCCCATTTCTGTTCCTCCGTGAGTGACAAGAACTGATCCGTCTGTATAAACATGAACCAAGGCTCCAGCCTGGAGTGAATAAATAAGTAAATATCCATATTCGAAGACATTCCAAATGGAAGTCATATGTTTGAGATCTCTGTTTATATAACTGCAGAGCTTTGCGCAAGAAGTAACAAAACTTGCACCGAACTAAACTGCAAAACAGTCCGTTTTTTGCGTAGTTCAAAACATGCGATCGGTAAAACGAAAGTCGTACAGGGAGGGTGAAAACGAAGAGTGAGACTAGGGCGTGTGATGCTTCGCGCTCTGAAAAAAAAACTTATTTTGAGGAAAAAACCCTGTGTTGCAGTCAACCACCGAACAGAAGGGCTGACAATTATCTCATGCTATCTGGGCGCTAGTTATAGTCGTTGATGGAATTCCCGAGCATTCATCCAAAAGATTCTCTGCGCCAGAAAGGACTTCCATAATGTAAGTCTTTCGTTGACAAACGTCCATTTAACTATGAAATGTTAGATTATGCTCCAAGGTAGTCTTGAACGTCGAAAGGGTTCTTAGGGGTTTCGCACAAGCGTGGCGAATGGCCAAAGAGTTCGCTTAGGACAAGGACGTTTAAGGTTCCGACTCGGTGTCAAGAGAAATTGTTTTTTTACCCTTGTGGCTAAAAAGGCATTCTGTGAGGGTTAAAGTGACTTCCTACCTGGTTCATAAATGTAGCAGTAAATGCAATACCAAACTTGGTAGGTGTCAGTGCGATACCTCTCTTCTTCCAACGGTTCTCCCTTGAGACAAGACACACGCTAACGTAAGCTGCATTACCCACAGGACTAACTGCAGTTGAACCTCGATTGAGCGGTCACCGGTGAGGTACTAGTCTGCTAAACAGCCGTTTTTAGTGTCGTCACGCAACGCATTGCGTGACGACAATAAAAACGGCTGTGTAGCAGACTAGTGAGGTACCGGCAAGTGGCCGCTTAATGGAGGTTCTTCAGAAATTACCATAATCTTAAGGAGATATCACTTTATTTTGACACAAACACGAGACAGGAGCATCACTACTGGACCACAATTGCTTGTCACCTTTTATTTCGGACTATATTTTCAGTCATTTTCTCAAAATAAAGCAGAACGAGTGTATCAGGCGCTTGACGGCCGCTTAATAGAGGTGAGAACAAAAGGAGAACTCTCGTTGGGACGGCCAAAGGGTGGTCGTGAAAGGGCGACTTTCTACGGGGATCTGAGGCCTAAACCCTTAAAAATGTGAAAATTAAGGTATACAGAGATGCAATCTGGACGCTTAAATTTAGCATGTCAGTGTGTCGCTGTACGAACCTGTTAAAGGACTCAACGTGTCTCCTTCTTTCTTCGTAATGACTTTTATCTATGAGTTCATCCCAGATTCGCTGAATATGGCAGCTTGTCAGTGCTTGATTAAAGTGCGTTAAGTCACCTTCTTGATAGAAGTTCAACTCTCTGACCTATAAAGCAGTACTTTCCTGAGGTGTTGTTTGTTATGCTGTACAAAGTGGTACTATTTATTGTACTGTTTACTGTACTTTCCAGTGCCGTGGTACTATTTACTATGCTGTTCAAGGTGGTTCTAGCTTTTGAGTATGGGAATGAAATCCGGAAGTGTGATCACTGGAGTGAAAAACACTGATCAGTACTTTCCATTCATTGGGTTAAGTTGTGTAAATGATGCAGAAAATCCCTTCAAAGTCTGGGATAAGCTCAAAAAAAGATCCCTCGAATAAGACCATTCAAAGATAACAGTAATTGAGAAGTACGTCTTACTACAAGTCTTCTTTAGTTCTGTTGTTCATTGGCCGTTACACAAGTTTTGTTCTTACTGAAGTTTTCTCCCTTAATTCATTGCAGTGTAAGAGGCCAGGGGTTACTGATCATTCTTTGCGGGAGATGGGAGAGGAAGGGGGGTATAGTACTCACCTGTCTCTGTGAAATGCCGCAGGTGATTGCAACGTCAGTTATCCACGATTCTGCGAACATCATGCCCTTCGAACGAAAAGAAGCGTGTTTTATTTTTGGCCAAGAAATGAAACTGACATGACAAATACAATTACTATGATATAATTAAGAACTTCTGTCCATAACATAAGAGATTTCATACTTGCGGTCCACCAAAACCTCTGAATGCAGTGTTGGAGGGGAGATTCGTCTTGCACATGTAACCAAGTACGCGGATATTTGGAATCAGGTAACAGTTTTCTGCATGGAAAACAGCTCTCTCCATCACCTGCACAAAAATGACAAAAATGGTGGTTACACACGTCGTAGGAGCAGGCAGTTTCCCGAGACATCGGTGCTCTCGCCTCGCATTTATCGTTCTGTTGCAGAAAGCACCTATCTCATAGTGAGTTCCACATTTTTTTTTTTTTTGGTCAAAATTATAACTAATTAAGTATTTCGCCATCTTTCAGTTGTCATGCTTGGAACTCCAAAGGAAACAAATCAAGTAATTCTATCAAAGGGAAAACAAAGCGTGGTCGACTTTGGTCATTTTTTCGACAACAAAGGAGTTAAGATTGAAAACGTCGGCCCACAATTATTCAAGTTACAATCTGTTTCCATCCTAGCTATCTAAAGCCACAGACATAAACTCATAGCTGAGGCACAATAACAGAGTAATTTTAAATGACACTGAACCACTTTCGCTGGGTTCAGAAACTCGAGATGAACTTCTCACTAAGTAGCTCCCTGTTATGCTCCGGGACCCGTTTGCGGCACTGCTTATTGTAACTAGCCTGTGTACAGACGTCCCCCCTCCCTCAAAAAAAGCGGGAGAAGAGACGTCGTCTGTTCTCCCGATTTTTTTTTAATTGTAACAGAAAATAGGGGGTTAAAGCAAAGGCGTTTTCAAAAGACGTACGCCAATCGAACGTATAGTTTTTGCATTATTGAGCACTGGCTTTACCCAAATTTAGAGGTAAATCGTCTCTATAAGAGCAAACAAATTTGGTAGCGTCAAGCCATAGGCGGCGGGAAAACGGCGTCACGTCCGGTAGACGTGCGTCCCTCAAAAAAGCCTTTGCTTCAGCACACGAATTATGACTCACAGCTGCCGACAGATCCAGAGAGTTTCCAGTGTTGCTGTATAATGTTACATCCAATGCTTTGATCTTGCCATTAGTAGTAAAACCAACCTAAACAAACACAAAGAAAACAGAAAATGCGAAGATGTTGACAAAGACAGGAAAGACAATTCAATTTACATTTTTTCCGACAAGTCCCGACGTACGGCGTGATTCAGCGAGCCAAAATTTTCGTTCATAATTTTTCGACATTTTAGAGAGGCGAAAAGTACAAGACTTCGGACCATTCTCATTTGCTTCTCCCTCATCAAAACGACTTTCACGTCCACATTCGAAAAGGGTCGTCAAGACCATTATAGACCGACCCGGTGCATTCCGTTTTAGACTGAAATTTCCAAAAAGTAAAATTGCATTGTGATCAAAAGTAGTCTCACGGAAAGCCAACTTTCCTAAAAGATCAATTCACCCATTTTCTTCGAGACTTTTCGGTTAGAGTTTCAGCAAATTGGAACGCGCTCGAAAAAAAAACAAACAAACAAGAATATCCTGTTATTTCTCGTTTACTTCAACTGTTATCATATTACCTTGTATTTAGCCAAGAAAGGATGCCTTGTGCCTGTACTCATCATATCCTCATCTCTATCAAGCATGCATCGCACAGGTTTACCAGTCCTGAAAGATACGGGTTTTGTCAATTCACCATTTTGTTCTGACGCGTGGTGTAAAGAACGCACAGCCCGCGAGAAAACTGACCAAGCGTCGACGATCGCGCGCGAGTGATCCTCGAAAACCGCGTGAGCATTCTCCTACTTCAGTTTCCGTACAAAGAGTCTTCAGAATTTGAAAAGAGATCACTAAAGATGTTACCCGGAAAAAACAGCCGACATTTCGCGTCACCACCACTGGTTTCCCCGCGAAATGATGTCTGAGAAATGACGGCAGAAACGCCATACTGATGACGTGTCACTAGCCAAATCTGGGTAGTACTTCTGATTGGTGGTACCGCGAAGGAAATTTACTTCAACCAATCAGAAGCACTGCCCTGATCTGGATAGTGACACTTCATCAGTATGGAATTTCTGCGCTCGTTCTATAGATGTCATTTCCCGGGAAAACCACCGTTGGCGCTGCGAAATCACAACTGTTTCCTCGGGCTGCAAATATGTCTTCTTTTTTAAAAGGTTTCTGCTCACCAACAACACGCAAAGTGTATTCTCTCTTGATAAAGATAAATAGGCCATAAACAATGAACAGTGTCACAGCGGAGAATTTTCTTGTTCATACTAGACATTAACATTTGGGGCATAAGTGGACGCACTGAAAAAGCCGTAGTCTGTTCCCTGGCTTCCTATTCTCTCTTAAAAGATCATCGATCGCGCGTACAGTAATAGAAACCGCAGGAGATTTATTGACCACTAGCGCAAGGGGTCGAAGGTATAAAAGTCGCAGACAAACTTACTTGGCAGCGGCCACTGCTACTACACTCGTGTGGAAACAGTTACGAGTTTCCTTGCCTCCAAACCCTCCACCTAAGGAGCACAAGAAGGAAACCATGCATGAAAGTCGAAAGCGCACACATAAAACTTGCCCCAGGGGGTCTGCTTACGGAAGATTACAATCTACTTTGTCACACAAAAACTACAGATTACAAGATGATGGTAATAGTATTAAACCAAAAACTCACCCATTCTTTTAGTGCGCACTACTATTCTATTAGCAGGAACTCCTAGGGCTTTCGCAACAAGCATCTGTCGATCAAAAGGAATGCCATGATATCATTTTACTTTCAGTCCAATTTTTTGCTTTCTTGTTGTTGTGTATGGCATACAACGATAAAGGATAGTGTTCAAGGCAAAACCCCTAACGGCCCCTTATGATATAACCACAAGAAGAACAGAAAGAGGCTCTCTAGC